AATTTCAGAAAATAATTTGTTAATTAAATTTTGGGGAAAAAAGATAAAACTATTGTTATTTTCAAATGATATAAATTTATGTCTAGGGAATCCAAAATAAATAGCTAAAATATTTTTGGTTTTTTAAAATTTTTTTTGTTTTTAGAAATAGGATGTTATGTATCAGAAAGTATAAAGGTTAGAACCTATCAGATTTCATGATTGATTGCATGCTGGTAGCAAGGGAGAAGGAGTAATCAAAGTTTAAAGTTTTAACCTGGATCATGAGCCTGGTTCTCTCTGGGTTACTGTCACAACTCCATTCTTTCCCTTCTAATCAATTATACTCACAGCTGTTGGATTGATTTTTTAAAAATTGAGACACAATGGACATAAAATATTATACTAGTTTCAGTGGTACAACATAACAATATATTTGTACATATTATGAAAAGACCACCACAGAGTCTAACGAGTTAACTTCCATCACCACACATGGTTACATTTTTTTTCTTATGGTGAGAACTTTTAAAATCTACTTTATAAGCAACTTTCAGATACACAACACAGTATTGTTAATGATAGTCACCGTGCTGTACATTATATCTTGTACATGCTTGCTAAGTCACTTCAGTGGTGTCTGACTCGGTACAACCCAATGGACTGTAGCCCACCAAGCTCCTCTGTCCATGTGATTCTCCAGGCAAGAAACACTGGAGTGCATTGCCATGCCCTCCTGTAGGGGGTCTCCCCAACCCAGGAATTGAACCTGAGTCTCTTATGTCTCCTGCATAGGCAGATGGGTTCTTTACTGCTAGGTCCAACTGGAAAGCCCATATCTCAGGACCGACTTATTTTATAACTCAAAGTTTGTAAATGTTGACAACCTTCACTCATTTTGCTCACTCCCACCCTCCCACCTCTGGCAACTACCAATCTGTTCTCTGTATCTATGAGTTCAGTTTTGTATTTTCTTCAATTCCACATATAAATGCATCACATGGTATCTGTCTTTCTCTATCAGACTTATTTCACTTAGCATAATATCCCCAAGGACCATCCATGTTGTTGCAGATGGAAAGATTTCATTCTTGTTTTATAGCAGAAAGTATTTCATTGTATGATATATATAACATATATATATATATGGATTTTAAAAATGTGATATATATATTGATGCTTTTGAACTGTGTGGTTTTGGAAAAGACTCGAGAGTCCCTTGGACTGCAAGGAGATCAAACCAGTCAATGCTAAAGGAAATCAGTCCTGAATATTCATTGGAAGGACTGATGCTGAAGCTGAAACTCCAATACTTTGGCCACCTGATGCAAAGAGCCAAATTATTAGAAAAGATCCTGATGCTGGGAAAGATTGAAGGCAGGAGGATAAGGGGGTGACAGAGGATGAGATGGTCGGATGGCACCACCGACTCAATGGACATGAGTTTGAGCAGATTTTGGGAGTTGGTAATGGACAGGGAGGCCTGGTGTGCTGCAGTCCATGGGGTCACAAAGAGTCAGACACGACTGAGAGACTGAACTGAACTGATACATATATGTATACATATACACATTTATAAACAGAAATATATATATACTTATACCACACACACACACATACACACACACACACACACACATACATTTATCACTTTTTCTTTATCCTTTCATCCACTAATGGACACTTAGGTAGCTTCCATGTCTTGAAAGTGTATTCAGTTACTCAGGCACATCCAATTCTTTGCGACCTTAAAGACTGTAACCCACCAGACTCCTTTGTCCATGGCATTCTCCAGGCAAGAATGCTGGAGTAGGCTGCCATTCCCTTCTCCAGGGGATCTTCCTGACCCAGTGACAGAATCCAGGTCTCCTGCACTCCAGGCGGGTTCTCTATCATCTGAGCCACCAGGGAAGGCCTTCTGTGTCTTGGTTATTATAAATAATGTTGCAATGAACATGGAGGTGCACAGCTCTTTTCAAGCCAGTATTTTCATTTCCTTCACATAAATATCCAGAAACAGAACTGCTGAATCATTTGGTAGCTCAATTTTTAATTTTTTAAGGAACCTCCATACTATTTTCCATAGTGGCTGTACCAGTTTACATTTCTACCAGTAGTACACAAGGTTCCCTTTTCTCCACATTCTTACCAACACTTATTTCTTGTCTTTTTGATAATAGCTATTCTAACAGGTATGAGAATATTTTATGGTGATTTTGATTTGCATTTCCCTGATGATTAATGATGGTGAACACATTTTCATATACCTGTTAGTCTCTGTCTTCTTTGGAAAAATGTTTATTCAGGTCCTCTGTCCATTTTTTCATTAGATTATTTGTTTGGGTTTTTGTTTCTTTCTGTTGTGTTGTGTGAGTTTTTAAATGTATTTTGAAAAAAATTAAAAATGTATATATTTTGGATATTAACCCCTTCTCAGAAGTATGATTTGTAAATATGTTATCTTTGCTGTGCTAAAATAATTTTAAAACTAACAATTAAGTTCTATAAAGTGGCTCTATATGGGGAAAAACACAAAAATTAATAGTTTTCTTTTATGAATAAAAATTAAGTTGGAAAATAATATCAGAAAAGAATAAATATTAGCACAAAATTTGTTAATGCCTAAATATGGATTTAACAAGGAAATAATAAAAATTATAAGGAGAAACCTATGAAGTCTAACTAAAGAATATACAGGAAAAAACATATCACTTTGCTAGATGGGAATATTATTAGATAAACTTAATAGTATTCCAAACAGAAGTTTGACATTTTTTTCTTTTTTCAATCTGACAAGTAGATACAAAAAATGAAGAAAATTTTGAAAAAGATAATGAGAAAATGAGAAAAGATGTGTCCTGCCAGATATTAAAATGTATCCCCTTATTATTGTAAATATAAAGTCTCATAGGCACATAGAGTTGAGAAGTAGTTCAGTGGACTAGAATAGAGTTCAGAAATAATGCAAGTTTATATTGGAACCTATGTATGATACATTTTGCATTTCACATCAATGGAGAAAGGATGTTTTATTCAATTAATAGTATTAAAGTAACTAATTGTCATACGAAAAAGAATGGTGAATTATTACATCACATGTGCACCATAATAAATGACAGATCATTTAAGATGTAAATGTGAAAACAACAGAACTATAACCATACTAGAAAAAATATAGAAGAACTTTTTTATAACAGAAGCAATATGAGTCAAAATAAGTCAGATGCCACTCTCATCTACTGGTTCTACAAAATTAAAATGGTTTAAGTGAAAGTGAAGTCTCTCAGTCGTGTCCGACTCTTTGCAACCCCATGGACTGCAGTCTATCAGGCTCCTCCTTCCATGGGATTTTCCAGGCAATAGTACTGGAGTGGGGTGCCATTTCCTTAAAAAAGGTTTAAGGTTGATTTAAAAGTGGAGAAACTGTCTTATATTGTTATGGAAGCATAAACTGTTAAAAATGTTAACCCAGCAATCATACTTCTAAGAATCTATTCTTTAGAAATAATAGCAAGAATACACTGTTAAAAATTTGTTTACACCAGGCCCGAGCACTTGTCTCATGCATCCAACCTGGGCTGATGATACAAGTGCTCGGGCCTGGTGCACTGCGAAGACCCAGAGGGATCGGGTAGAGAGGGAGGTGGGAGAGGGGATCGGGATGGGGAATACATGTAAATCCATGGCTGGTTCATGTCGGTGTATGACAAAACCCACTACGATATTGTAAGGTGATTAGCCTCCAACTAATAGAAATAAATGGAAAAAATAATAATAATAAAGTCAGTCTTACACACACACACACAAAAAAAATTTGTTTACTGGAAGCAACTACACAATCCACAACTTAACCATCTTGTTTGTTTGTAATTAAATCATAATGTGTCTCCACAATGTAATAATATGCAGTCATTAAAAAGAGTTAGGTGGATAACCTGGAAACATACCATGAATATCCTGTTCAACACAAACAGCAATCCTCCAACTACTCCATAGAGCATGGTCCCATTAACATGATTGCTAGGCTACAGCAAGGAGAGCATTGAGACTGGATGATTACGCAAACCCTCTGTCACCAGGCATCATGCCCCTGCAGTTGCGGTAAGGTTTGCAATGAACAGTGTGTAGATAAAGAGACACAGTAGTAACCCAATTAACTGGTGACACCATAGAGAACTAGGAGATGTCAGAGCCAGAAAAACAGTTCCTAGGACATTATTCTCATCACCTCACTTTAGCTGAAAGCAAGTGAACTATAAGCCCTTGGCATATGATTTTTACCTTTCATTCCAGGCTGGATACTGACAAGTTAGTTGGAATTCTCAACCGTACAGATGAGTTTTGATGAAAACCAACACCATGCGAGAAAGAAAAAAACAAAACACAAAAGGAATTGATGTGGAGTAAAAATAATTATTTATGCAATCAGAAAAGATATTGAAAATAAAATTTAATTACCCTTAATATGATGCAGGTATTTCATCTAGGATGTATGGACAGGTGACTATGAAAAAGAAACAATATATATTTACTGAAATAAAAAAAAACTTGATATATACCCTTAATAGCCATAGCTGAAGAGAAACCCAGTAGAAGAAAAGATGGAAGAATTTTCCCAGAACAACTCAAAAGTGCCTAAAATTTAAAAATAGAAAAAAGAATTAAAAGACAGGGAGGAATATTCCCAAGAGGCCAACATCTATCTAGTATGACTTCCAGAAGGAAAGGCTGATGAGAATAAAAAGAAATCCACTGAATAAAATATCTGAAAGTATATAATCACAAAATAATTTACAGGGAAGTGGAATTGAAGTGGGATGGGAATAGATAAATAAAAGCTTTTTAATGGTTAAACATTCTGAGTGACTTTAAAATTTTGTGTATAACACAAAGTACCATGTTACACACAAAATTTTAAAAGAGAGTCCCAGAAAAACATCTACTTCTGCTTTATTGACTACACCAAAGCCATGACACCATAGAGAACTAGGAGATGTCAGAGCCAGAAAAACAGTTCCTAGGACATTATTCTCATCACCTCACTTTAGCTGAAAGCAAGTGAACTATAAGCCCTTGGCATATGATTTTTACCTTTCATTCCAGGCTGGATACTGACAAGTTAGTTGGAATTCTCAACCGTACAGATGAGTTTTGATGAAAACCAACACCATGCGAGAAAGAAAAAAACAAAACACAAAAGGAATTGATGTGGAGTAAAAATAATTATTTATGCAATCAGAAAAGATATTGAAAATAAAATTTAATTACCCTTAATATGATGCTGGTATTTCATCTAGGATGTATGGACAGGTGACTATGAAAAAGAAACAATATATATTTATTGAAATAAAAAAAAACTTGATATATACCCTTAATAGCCATAGCTGAAGAGAAACCCAGTAGAGGAAAAGATGGAAGAATTTTCCCAGAACAACTCAAAAGTGCCTAAAATTTAAAAATAGAAAAAAGAATTAAAAGACAGGGAGGAATATTCCCAAGAGGCCAACATCTATCTAGTATGACTTCCAGAAGGAAAGGCTGATGAGAATAAAAAGAAATCCACTGAATAAAATATCTGAAAGTATATAATCACAAAATAATTTACAGGGAAGTGGAATTGAAGTGGGATGGGAATAGATAAATAAAAGCTTTTTAATGGTTAAACATTCTGAGTGACTTTAAAATTTTGTGTATAACACAAAGTACCATGTTACACACAAAATTTTAAAAGAGAGTCCCAGAAAAACATCTACTTCTGCTTTATTGACTACACCAAAGCCCTTGACTGTGTGAATCACAACAAACTGTGGGAAATTCTTCAAGAGATGGGAATACCAGACCATCTCACCTGACTCCTGAGAAATCTGTATGCAGGTCAAGAAACAACAGTTAGAATTGTACATGGAACAATGGACTGGTTCCAAATTGGGAAAAGAGTATGTCAAGGCTGTATATTGTCATCCACTTATTTAACTTACATGCAGAGTACATCATGCAAAATGCCAGGCTGGATGAAGCACAAGCTGGAATCAAGATTGCTGGGAGAAATATCAATAACCTCAGATATGCAGATGACACTACCTTTATGGCAAAAAGCAAAGAAGAACTAAAGAGCCTCTTGACAAAAGTAAAAGAGAAGAATGAAAAAGTGGCTTAAGCTCAACATTCAGAAAACTAAGATCATGACATCCGGTCCCATCACTTCATGGCAAATAGATGGAAAAACAACGGAAACAGTGAGACTTTATTTTCTCAGGTTCTAAAATCACTGCAGGTGGTGACTGACGCCATAACATTAAAAGATGCTTGCTCCTTAGAAGAAAAGCTACGACCAACCAAGACAGCATATTAAAAAACAGACACATTACTTTGCCGACAAAAGTCTGTCTAGTCAAAGCTATGGTTTTTCCAGTAGTCATGTATGGTTGCGAGAGTTGGACCATGAAGAAAGCTGAGCATCAAAGAATTGATGCTTTTGAACTGTGGTGTTGGAGCAGACTCTTGAGAGTCCCTTGGACTGCTGCTGCTGCTGCTGCTGCTAAATCGCATCAGTCATGTCCGACTCTGTGCGACCCCAGAGACGGCAGCCCACCATGCTCCCCCATCCCTGGGATTCTCCAGGCAAGAACACTGGAGTGGGTTGCCATTTCCTTCTCCAATGCATGAAAGTGAAAAGTGAAAGTGAATTTGCTCAGTCATGTCCAACTCTTCACGACCCCATGGACTGCAGCCTACCAGGGTCCTCTATCCATGGGATTCTCCAGGCAAGAGTACTGGAGTGGCTTGCCATTGCCCTTGGACTGCAAGGAAATGAAAATCAGTCCTGAAAATTCATTGGAAGGACTGATGCTGAAACTGAAACTCCAACACTTTGGCCACTTGATGCAAAGAACTGACTCATGGGAAAAGACCCTGATGCTGGGAAAGATTGAAGACAGGAGAGAAGGGGAAGACATAGAATGAGATGGTTGGATGGCATCACTGACTCTGTGGACATGAGTTTGAGCGAGCTCCAGGAGTTGGTAATGGACAGGGAAGCCTGTCATGCTGCAGTCCATGTGGTCTCAAAGAGTTGAACATGACAGAGACTGAGCTGAACTGAAAATCTTACAATTATTTTTCTAGGGAACCCAGATCAGGTAGATCTTTGCTAACAATTAGGATCACTAATCTATTCTCAAAAGGAAGTAAAAACCAAGTAGACAGAACACCTTTCATAATTCTATCTTAAAGAGACTTAATTCAGCATAATTTTACTTCTACTGATTTTAATAAAACAGGTGACAACTGTAACACAAAGAACTTGCTTTACTACAGTCATTCTCATGCCTGTTTGTTTTGTTTGGTAACATTCTCAAATTGATGAGGCCAAGTCATCATAACAAGAAGTGGAATCCTGGAAAGGTTATCTGGATGATTCCAGGAGATCTCCTAGTTATCATGTTTGGACATTTATTCCAAATGATTGATTTGTTAATATACTCTAACCATTTTCTTATTCTTTCCAACTATTCCAACTATAGTCTTACCTTAAATGAAGAATGAGAATCTCTGTCTTTTTAGGTAACCACAAATCACAGCCAAACAACAAATAGTGAAGCGGGTTTCCCCTTCAAAAACTAATAAGAGGATAATGATTTTAATTGTTTCATTGTTTAAAGGGGCATCAGGTAGGACTCTATGTAATTTCATCTGCCACTTCTACCACTATCTATCTTTGTTTCAAAATTCTATTTTGGGGTTCCCAAATCATATACATTCTCACCTAGTGCTAAACATAGGAATACCACCAGTTTCCATACCTATTTATTGAGTTGGGGGGAAAAAAAATACTACTTGAGAATGGTATCCAAGACAGATTTATGCCAGGATCCAGGGACCAAAGCAGACCAAGGCCACAGAACCACCAAAAACAGCTCTGGCAACAGAGGTGAGTACAAAAGACAATGTCCCTTAAATTAAAGTCTGGCTTTTCCATCAGGTAAGTAAACATTAGAAGAGGCCTGACTTGAAGGTGAAAAAATTCAGAAGCTTAAGTGAGCTGCAACATCTGCAAACTTAGAAAATTTTAATGAAATCACAAATAACAAAGAAACCAATAATCATGAAAAGTCTGGACGTTTAAAAAAAAAAGAACAAATTACTCCAAAGTTATTTAAAAAGCAGTTTCTCAGCACTGTCAGTGCCTTACCAGCTTCTTGGAATGAAATGCTTGTGCTAATGGATGCAGGAGCTGGAAATCTGGCCAAATTCTTCACGTAGTAACTTCACCTCTCTACTTTTCTCCTGATACGAAGGTGCGATCCCTCCAGTGATAGGTACCAACGTCACCAAAACTAAATAAAAAACAAATGCACACAAGTAATGTCAATCCTTAAGTGATGTGAACTGTGACAGGAGTTTTACTTTTTATAGCGTTCCCCTGAAACAACTCCAAAGCCTCAGTTCCATCATGGTTGGGTTTTAGAGGTTTAGTCCTGTAGAGGAAAGCCATCTATCCTGCTGTTCCCCTGCAGGCGATGGAACACTGCAAAGCTCTATTATCTCAAAAGCACTTCTTCCGTTAATTCTCAAGACCTCATTTCTCAATCCAGCAGTGTGGTTGAGCAACTGCGTGTGTTCTTCAGAATCAGAATTACAGTCCACAGGGAATCCAGATCCCCTGTTCCTTTTAAGTCCTTTTCTGTGTACTTTGAGACAAAACATTTGGGGGCATGAACCATGTAAAATATCACATATCTCAGAAAAAAAGCTTTTACTTCTCCAAAGGCAGTTGTGGTAAAAGGAGCCAGTCTTGGTCTCCTTAAACATCTGTGAGTCATTTTCCAACCTAGATGTTAGACGTTGTTATCTCCCACCCATCGGGAAGTCAGAAGTCCAGTGGCCTTTCTCTCCTTCCACCATCGTTTCAAAGGATGATTGCATATTAATGGTTGACATTTGACTATGAATGACTTTAATCGTTATAATTGTTCTTGGGAAATTTGCGTTTAAGCCTTGCTTCTAATTGTGTAAAAGTTTTGTAAAAAATATTTTGTTACTCATTAAGTTTAGGCATCACATAAAACTTGGCAATGATGAATTCTCACCATATTTTATGATCTTTTCTCTTACATGAAAGAGGAAATAAGCAGAAGCCAGATTAAACTATGCCCATGACTGAGGGAGCCCAGAGCTGACAGAAAGCAGAATATTGTGGGTCCAGGCCGTGTGCACAACTTCCGCACCCTGGGCTGGCTTACTCAGGCTCCACTCTTCATGACCTGTGCTTCCTCTCCTCTAGGGACCCATTATTCTTTTACTCGAGAACACAATATCTCAGTGATCCAAACCCATTTTCAGTGGGGGGTGGGGGTGGTGGGGGTGGGTGTGTGTGGGGGGGGTGTGTGTTTGCATGCGCGTGCGCACACGCGAACCTGAATAGATACAGGTGTCGGCACACAGACAGAGAGTTCTATCATTCTGTTTGTACGGATGTCTACCTAGGTATAGGTGTCGATACCACACATACACACGCGCATATCTTCTTGGTCCCCTCCGTAGGCACTCCGTGGAGTTGCCAGGTTGGGTCGGATGGGGAATCTTTGGTGGAGTGTCCTGAGGTTAGTTGATCAGCATGCTCCCTAAGGCCTGGTGCACACCATTTTGAGGTAAGCAGTATTTAGTTTGTTTTCATTTAGGAGCACTATTTCAGGCACAACTGTCTATGCAGTATGATAACAATGGTGCTGATATTTATATTCTTTCCTCTGTCATTGGCTTTGAAGAAAGCAAGTGCACTCCAGAGACCCATATGCACTCCAGAGACCCAGATGCTGAATAAGAAGCCAAAAAGTGTTCAGCACAATAATGAGTGACACTGATAATTCAAGGTAAATATTGATGAAAGAGCAAAGTACAACAAGAAAAACAATATTTTTATTATAAAAACTCTATCCCCAGTTCAGAATGGAAACAGCTTTGAGCTCATAGAAAACAGTCCCTGGGGAGTGCTGTAGGCTTAGAGGAGGAGAGACAAAGTTTTGAGGACTTTGAGGATGAGCATTTTCCCTCTTTAAGTACAGAAAAGGAGACTATCTGTAGAATTATTTGTGAGAACGGCCACAAGGCTGCTGTCAGAAGTAGAGGGCGCCACCAGATGTCTTTCTCTAAACCAATGGATTCTAGGAATTTACCTCATAAAATAAAATTGTTAGGGGGAGCACACTGGTTAAAACTTCCTACCCTGGCCAGGCACCATAGTAACCATTTGCATAAGTTGTTTTACTACAGGAGGTCCTGGTAAGGAACACGGAACTAATAAGCCTCCACCAACCGGAATGTTTGGGAAAGGTCTCAAGGAGACACCACATGTCCGACCACCTCCCAGAATCCTTCTCTCTGGCATCCATCTTGGCTGAACAAGGCATGCACCACCAGGAAGGGCTCTGAGTCAGAATAATTGGCTAAAGACAACCCAGAAACTAATCCCATCACAATAAAACCCGAGACTGCAAGCCATGTGACAGAGCAGTTACCCAACTGCTCTCCACCCGGGTGCCCTTTCCCAATAAAATCTCTTGCTTTGTCAGCACATGTGTCTCCTCGGACAATTCATTTCTGAGTGTTAGATGATAGCCCAGTTTCAGGACCTGGAAGGGGTCCCCCTTCCTGCAACAAAATTGCCACAGTTCAGACTCCAGCTCTGGTGATTATAAAACAGGTCAGCAAGTTCCTTGACAGTGTTCTCATCAAGAAGCAAAGTCTAAATCTTCTCCCCTTGGATATAGACTGACTTTGGTGACTCTGAAACAACAGAATCATCAGTGATGCTACATGGATTTTGAGTCTCGGTCACAAAGAGATAAGACTTCCACCTAGCTGTTTCTTGGAACATGGACTCAGAGCTCTGAATGACCATGTGAGAATTCCAACCTGTCTGAAGTCACTATACTGAAAAGAAACAAGGAGAACACAGAGAGAGATGCATGAAAAGCCTCAGCTGTTAGAGTCTTGCCAGCTCAGGGGCGACAGATTAATGAGAAGCTGCTAGATGATTCTGGTCCCAGTTACTGTACTGTTCCTAGAAGAATCCATTCTAGGATTGTTGTTGTTTATTCACTAAGTCATGGACTGTTTCCTGACAGGCTCCTCTGGACATGACATTATCCAGGCAAGGATACTGGAGTGAGTTTCCACTTCCTTCTCCAGGAGATCTTCCCAACTCAGGCATAGAACCCACGTCTTGTGCATTGGCAAGTGAATTCTTTACAGTCTATAAATATTTCAATTTAATTTGCACTTTCATAATTACTAGTTAGTTTGAACAGCTTTTCAGTTTGATGGTCCCTGGCTAATCATTGCCCATTTGAGTATTTTGCCTATTTGTTCCAGAATTGCTTGTGCTTTTTTTTTTTTTTTTTTAATTTTTAGGAGTTCTTTATAGAATTTTGATACCAGTCTTCTCAGCTTACATAGTTGCAAATATTGTCACCTTTTTTGTCACTTGTATTTTTAGTTTTTTAGTGAAACCAATGAAAAAAGATTTTGGTTTTAATTTTTTCATGAAATATAAAGTGTACAAATCTTCAGTGTATAGATCAATGAGTTTTTATATATCTATATACTTGGGAGGGTATATAAAAGTTATACACTTTTATATATCTATATAAAATAGGGAGGGAGCACACCCCACCCATCCACAGAAAATTGGATTAAAGAATTATTGACCATGGCCCCTGCTGCATCAGAACAAGACCAGTTTCCCCCTCAGTCAGTCTCTCCCATTAGGAAGTTTCCATAAGCCTTTTATCCTTATCCATCAGGGCAGACAGAATGAAAACCACAATCACAGAAAACTAACCAATCTGATCACATGGACCACAGTCTTGACTAACTCAATGAAACTGTAAGCAAAACTGTTTAGGGCCACCCAAGATGAACGGGTCACGGTAGAGAGTTCTGACAAAGGTGGTCCACTGGAGAAGGGAATGGCAAACCAGTATACTTGCCTTGAGAACCCCATGAACAGCATGAAAATGCAAAAAGATAGGACACTAAAAGATGAACTCCACAGGTCAGTAGGTGCACAGTATGCTATGGAGATCAGTGGAGAAATAATTCCAGAAAGAATGAAGAGAAGGAGCCAAAGCAAAAACAACACCCANCATCACCGACTCAATGGACATGGGTTTGGGTAGACTTCGGCAGTTGGCGATAGATAGGGAAGCCTGGTGTGCTGCAGTTCATGGGGTTACAAAGAGTCGAACACAACTGAGCGACTGAACTGATATGGATCTTTGTTGACAAAGTGATGGCTCCACTTTTTTATATGCTGTGAAGTTTGTCATAGCTTTTCTTTCAAGGAGTAAGCGTCTTTCAATTTCATGGCTGCAGTCACCACCTGCAATGATTTTGGAGCCCAAGAAAATAGTCTATCACTGTTTCTACCTTTTCCCCATTGATTTGCCATGAAGTGATGGAACCGGATGTCATGATCTTAGTTTTTGGAATGTTTTAAGCCAGCTCTTTCATGCTTCTCTTTCACCTTCATCAAGAGGCTCTTCAGTTCCTCTTCAGTTTCTGCCCCTAGAGTGATATCATCTGCATATCTGAGGTTATTGATATTTCTCCTGGCAATCTTGATTCCAGCTTGTGATTCATCCAGCCTGACATTTCACATAATGTACTCTGCATACAAGTTAAATAAGCAGGGCAACAATATACACTTGGTATGTCAGTTCTTTAATTTTAGATACTCTAGTGGGAGAAAAGAGCTCATTATGGATTTAATGTTTGCATTTCCTCAATGAAGTTGAAGGCATTTGAATATGCTTGTTACTCTTTCACAGTTTCTGCTTGTCTTGTTTACAAAATTATTTTCTACTCCAATACCATAAAAACTTTTTCTTTAAAAAATGTTTAGTTTTTTATTTGTAGTATATAATATACTTGGAACATATTTTTGTACATGGTGAGAAGTTTTATAGGTATAGCTATGGAAACATTACAGTGCCATTTATTGATAGTCCATCCTTGTTCTACTGGTTTGGAATGCTTTCTTTGTCTTGCTTACAATAGCTTTTATAATAATGTGCAACTAATACAATGTCAAAGATAGATCAAAAAGAGAAAAGAAGAAAACATTAGAACTCATATAAACAAACCTGTGTAAATCTAAGAACTCAGTATATGACTTTTGATGGTCTTTATTATTCTTTTCCATTTCATTTCACTAACTTTCTAATCTTTATTATATCCTATGAGGCTGCTTTCTATTTTAGTTTTCTCTAACTTCTCTAACTTCTTTAGTTGAATGCCTCAATTATTTTTAATCACCCTGATTCCTTTTCAAATG